TTTTTCCCCCTTCTTGCCCCGCCCATGCGGGCACCTCCGGGCTGAAACAAACAAACACATGGGGGACGACTTCTGAATTGAATTCCAGAGTACATGCCGATGTAATCGTCCGTTGCTCCACGACCACTGATACACTGCAATCCGGAATGTTTGTTGAAAGGGGGTGAGCGTCCAATATGGAGATCTCAGGTCGCTGGGGGACCTCGGAGCCATTGTTTTCAAGTCATTGAGCGAATTGTGTCTCTTTGAGCCATCACGTTGATCCAGACGTGCAGTGTGATCACCAAGCTGTTGGAGAATGCCACGCACCGGGCTGTCACGAAGATGATCACGCCCAACCCCCTGGCCACGCCTGACCTTGCCACGCTGCGACAAGCTGGCCTCCCCATAATGGATGAGGAGGAGTACTGCGCCTGCATGGAGAGCGCCAACGTCACCAAACGGCGACGCATCCTCAAGGGTATGCATGGACGCACACACGCTCATGCCCTCCTTGATCTCTCTGTCGCGCACGGGGATGGATGGATGGATGGATGGATGGATGGATGGATGGATGGATGGATGGATGGATGGATGGATGGATGGATGGATGGATGGATGGATGGATGGATGGATGGATGGATGGATGGATGGATGGATGGATGGATGGAGATGAACGAATCAAACATGGGTTGTGTTGTGTGTGCAGGGTTCGTGGAGTCAGGGGGGTACACGTGGGACCAGGTGTGGCATCATCAACAACAACAAGAAGAAGAGACAAAGAAGTCCGCGCTGGAAAGTGTGCGAGGGCATTTCCCATGCTTTGATAAGTGGAAGTCTTGTCATTGTTGGCATCCCGAGACCAAGACCGACCCCGAGCCCACCGAGCCTGAGCCCGTTCTCCAATAAGGACAGTGTAGCGCTGGCGGCAGCTGCGAGGCACAATTATTTTGTCGCTCTCCCCGCTCGCCCATGCGAAGGATTCGAGGAATTTGAAGGATTTCTGATCAACTCGGGTTTCTTGATTTGGCGTACACTTACCTATCTCCCCAGATCCTCCCCATCAGTCGTGGATAAGCCTCATCACCTTCAATCAAACGTTTTGGATGAAAACCATGCTTCACGTCTGCAAATCACCGAGGTAACAAGGTTATGCTTTAACCTTGGAGATGGACCACTCGCCCCTTTGCTGCCCTGACTTGCCTAAAACATGTGACGGAGAGGTTTTAATCGTTTGAAGATGGAAGTGTTGGTCCTTCAGGTATTGAGAGATCGAGCGATGGATGCAGGTTGCGAGCTCAAGCTTGCACAGAGTGAGATGCCTGTGCATGAGGGAGCGTGCCAGTTCCTATCATCAGGGTCGCTGCTGGTAAGGTTCCAATCGCTCCACCTTGAGCAAAAAGAACTGCAACAGAAAGTAAGTTTGTCTCTATATATCACGCCGCCAATACTGCTGATGTTCAGTGTCATGCTTACACTCACAGTAATCTCAAACTACAGGCGCAATTACTCAAAACTGAGGTGAAGGAGCTCCTTCTACAGGCGGCCAGGGGAGGCAATCTCGAGGTGGGCTCACGCCGAGGGCTGCCCATGGGACGAGAGTACGTGCTCGAGTGCGGCCCGCGGAGGCCATCTCGAGGTGCTCCAGTGGGCTCGTGCCAATGGGTGCCTGTGGGACTGGTGGACGTGCGCATATGCGGCCCGCGGAGGCCATCTCGAGGTGCTCTGGTGGGTTCGCGCCAATGACTGCCCGCCAGGCCTATCGATGGACATTTCCTTTTGAAAACCCGTGGGACAAGAATGTGATGAGGCACCGTCCCAAGAGTCGTTGGTGTGCCTGCGTGTTACTCTGTGACGGGTTTTAATTCAGAAGAGGGCTCGTTCACTCCAACAGATCCTCCCTACCCAACGCACGGCGCAGAATGTCCAGAGAGTGAACCAGCTTCACCGCACTGTCGCGCAGGGACCGATTGTCCTTTTGCTTGTAGACATCCGCGATGATCTCCTGCATCCTCTTGGGGGCAACGACCTCGCTATCCTCGTCGTCGTCCTCCGTTGTAGGATGCGCGATGTCGACCCGATCTCTCGTCAGCCTCCTTAGGACGTCGTCGTACATGGGAGAGTAGTAGGTCCTCTCGAACTCCCTCCATCGCGCCTCGTCGGCCTCGCCCATCTCGGCTCGGATGCCCTCGATGCTGTGCAGTCGTTCCATCAACTGATCAAGGTCGTGTCGATTGTGGAAGACGTATTCGACTGTATCGCGCACGTGTGTACGCGTAGTGGAGGGGGTGGGCGTGAGAAAAAGATGGCGGGTGGATCTGGGTGGGAAGAGGAGGCGGAGCGTACTTGCGGCCCTTATGTAATTGTACCCAACCGATCCGCAGAGAAGGCGGTGTTGTTTGCGCCGCTCTCTTGCCACCATCTTGTTCATCTCCTTTCGAAGATCGTTCATCTCGTCTTGATGGAGCTTCTTCATCTCACCGAGGCCGCCCTCCAGCACCCGCACTCGCTTGTTGCTCTCTTTGAGCTGCAACCTCAGCTGCTGCATCTCCTTCTTCATCTCCTTGATCTTCTTCTGATGCTTTCTCTCCATCTCCTCGAGATTGCTGACGTACTTGGCTCGCAGCTCCTCTTTCTCCTTTCTCTCCCATTCGATCTGACGCTCCAGCTCGATGATCCTGCTCTCCACGGCACCAGAGATGGCCATGAGATTGAAATGATGGCGAATGTTTGAGAGAGATGCGATCGGGGAATCGTCGTTTGGCGTGGCAGCGAGGGGTGAGGGGGAGGAGGAGGAGGAGGATGCATCGGCGGTGGGGACGAGGGAGGTGTTGGGTGGTGCGGTGGGGGCGGCCATCGATGATGGGAGGGGCGTCGTGCACGATGATGGCGGCGCTAAGAGAAAAATAAAGAAAAGTGCCGAACCAAAAATTATTCCTCGGGAGCCCTATTTTTATTATTTATTGGTATGATATACCTCATTTTTTATGTTTAAGGTCTGGTTGGGTTGTGGCAAGTTTTCGTCAAGAGCCATCAAAGTACAACATCGATGGTGCCCCTCACGTGAAGGCTCTCACATGGCCTTGGGTGCGGGAGAAGCAGTGGCAATAGCACAGTGCTTTCCGCGTTCCGTAATTCTCTATCATTCAAAAAAAATAACGAATAAAAAAAATCCCCGTTTGCTCGCTCTGGCCTCGGCTGTGCCCGCATCGCCCAGCCACGCTCACGCCAAACACGCAACAGACCTTGCCAGCAGCTCGCTGCTGCCATCCGGTTGGTGACCGGTGCCCACCATCTTCA